ATTTTTGAGCTCGTTAATATGGTGAATTACACTCTTTGATTTTTCAAATATTAAACCAACTTTACATTCATGATAAAACTCATTTGAGCCTTGATATATGATCGTTTTTATATATTGATTAGCATATTTACATCTCTGTTCACGACAAATACCACTCTGTTTTCTTACCTTGAAATCCTTTTGTCTGGTTTTGGTTTAATGCTTAACTCAGAATGATTTGAAAAGTATCCCCCGCTCAATTTTCTGGAGGCCTTAAGTAGAATTTTGAAGAATTTTTTCACTTTATGTTTGGTACAATTCGTACCAAACAGTTATCTGGGCTTTGAATTTTCTTTGTGAGAGTTTTAAATAACAAATTCTATTTTAGTAGATTTAGGATTTTTCGGGTTATTGTTCTTTTTTGTTTGTTTGATTTGGGTTTGTGATTTTTTAGTTTGGTTTGGTTTTTTGGGACAGGGTCTCGCTATGTAGTCTGTGTGGTCTATGTAGTCTCGCTGTGTGGCCTCAAACTCCTGATGATCCTCCTGCCTCAGCCTCCCAAGTGCTAGGATTATAGGTGTGTGCCACCACACCTAACTCCAGGTTATTGTTCTTCAGTGGACTTGGATAATTTGTCTCTTCTAAGGAATTTGCCCATCATACCATCTAAGTTGCTAAATGTATTGGCATAAAGTTGTTTATACTGGGCCAGGGATATAGCTCAGTGGCACCACCCCTGCCTGGCAAACACAAGGTCCTGAGTTCAATTCCTGCTACCAGGAGAAAAAAGTTGCTTGTACTATTCTTTTACTGTCCTTTGATTGTCTAATCTGTAGTGACATCACCTTTCATTCCTGATACTGCTTTTGTCTCCTCTCTGCTAGAAGTTTATCAATTAGGTGGATCTCCATGGAGAACTACCTTTAGATTTCACTGATTTTTTTTTTCCCTATAATTTTTCTCTTTTCTATTTTATTGATTTTTCTCCTTGGGTTTTAAATCACTTCTTTCTTCAGGCTAACTATGTCACCAGCCCTTCTTTTATTTCTTGAGACAAGGTGTCTAAGTTTCTAAGTTGCCCATGCTAGGCTGGAACTTATAATTCCCCTGCCTCAGCTTCCCAGAGTGCTGGGATTGTGGGCCCCACCATGCCTGTGCCTAGTTCTTTTCTAGTTTTTAAGGTAGAAGCTGAGGTCACTGATTCATTCCTTTTCTAATATAACATTTATTAGGTACCTATTAAAGGTACCCATTTCTAATAAGGGCATTTCCCTCTTAAATACTGCTTTAAATTCATTGAACAAAGTCTAATAATGTACTGTAGGTTCAGATAATTTCTAATTTGCTTTTAATTTCTTCTTGGATGAGTTATTTAAAAATATGTTATTAAGTTTCCTAATATTTGGGGGTTTTCCGGGCATCTTTCTTTTACTAATTTCTAATTTAGTAGTAGTCTAATAACATACTTAAATTCTTTTAAATGGTAATTACAGAGACTTGTTTTGTGACCCGGGATATGATATATCTTGTAAATAATCTATGTATACTTGAAAAGAATATATATTTTGCCATTAGGTGTTATGTTTTTTAAATGTCAATTAAGTTAAGTTGGTTGGCAGCATTGTTCAAGTCTTCAGTATGTTTGCTGATTTTCTGAGAATGCAAACTGATGCCCTATTCTTAGGAAGTGTTCTACTCTTAGAGAACAGGAGTTATTTGCAGATTTGTGTGAACTCTGAGTATCATTTTCTCTGATCCTTTTGAGTGGTTTTATCCCTAGCTTCGGATCCTTTCTTCACATTCACATATTGATCAGTACTCAATTGAAGACTTGAGGGCTCTGTAGATTTCCCAGGATCTCTCTATGCTTCTCTCTTTTCACCCTGCAGTCTGCTTTTCAACCTCTGGCCTTCCTGAATTCGCAGTTCCACCTCCTCAGTTTAGGGGGGTCACCCTGTCTGGATTTCTTCTCCCTAGGTCTCAACCTGGGAACTTTTTCCAGCAGTAGGTTGGGCAGATTATTTGTTTCCTATCACCAGAGATCACTATCTATTGCTTGATGTCCAGTATCTTGAAAACTGATCTTTCCTATGCTTTGAACAATTTTTTAATTGTTTCTGGCAGGAAGTTTAAATCTGGCCCCTGATAATTCCATATTGCTTGGAAGCATAAATTCATTTTCCTGATATTTTTAACATCATCTTTTATAACTACTTGTGTCATATTTAGAGTAATATTCACTGTGATCACTTCTTTGTCCAGATGGATTTTAAAAGTTCTGCTAGTCAATATTCTGTAAGCTACTGCCTTCTGCTGTTTTGGGTGTTAACCAGATTCTTTATCTAGATTCTGTCTGTCTCATAAAAATAACAAAAGCTAATGATTTATTAAATCTCCTATGTTTCCAACAGGTATTAGGGGTTTTAACTATATTGCCTGTCTTAGTTACTTTCTGGTTGCTGGGACAAAATACCCAATACCCAAAAGTTAAAGGAAGAAAAGTTTATTTTAGCTCACACTTTGTAGAGGTTTCAGTCCATAGTCAACTGGCTCTAAGGCAGTGCAACATGGCAGGGGGGCATGGAAGAGGAGAAACAGTCCATGGCAAGGCAGGAGGGAAGCTGTCAGCAGGGAGCCTTCCTTTCCCTTTTTTTATCCTATTCAACCTGCAAGCCTATTGGTTAGTGCCACCCACACCCAATGGGTACACCCAGAACTATTATCTGCACCCAGAATTATGCTAACCCCGTCAGTGAACTAATCAAGTTATCATACACCCTTAATCCAGTCTCACATACCCATGATCCAGCCACCTTCCACAAGCCCCACCTATGAGCACCTGAGGCTTTGGGGGCAAAGGGGCATCTAGATACAAACCATGACATTACCTCATTTAATCCTTATAATAACCCTGTGAAGAAGTAATTATCTTCATTAGAAAGGTAATTGAAGTTGAGAAGTTAAATAGTGTGCCCAGGATCACACAAGTAAATGGCATAGTCAGCACTCAAGCCCAAGTCTGCCAGATCCCAGGGCCCATTGCTTGCTACTTTGTGACAGTACCACAAATCTGACACCCATTGGGGGTTTTTTTGCTGAGTATAAGAAGCTGGCTTCTCAGCAAAACTAACTCAAAAAGATTGTTCTTATCTGCTTTTACAGTAAGAGTAAACATTTTACAACACCTAAGGAAGGAAAAATATTAGTACAGCTACAGAGAATCATTTTGATTGAAGTTCCTGTCAAGTGACAGAAAGAAAAAGAGTTGAGAGAGCAGTTGTAAAGATGAAAGAGGAAGAATGTGATTATAGAAATGCTGGGTTGAGAAAACATTGTAACAAGTAAAAGGGGCAGAAAAGGGAAAAGAAAGAAATTATTCTGAGATGATATGCTTTGGAAACCTGCTGGAGCAATGCAGAAGCCTATGGCAGCAACCACTATCACTGTCACTGCAGCTTTTTATTTCTTTTTTTTTTTTTGGTACTGGGGATCGAACTCAGATCCTTATGCTTGCAGGGCAGGCAGTGGAACCACTGAGCTAAATCCCCGGCCCCAGATTTTTATTTCTTACTATGAGAGTCAATAAATGAACTCAAAATAGGAAAAGGAATGTATAGTATCAACTACTATTACCAAGATAACATGTTTTGGATTGATTCCCAGGGCCAAAATATCTATAACCTTTCCTAGAATAAGACAAGATTTTCTAAGTATATAAAAATATGTTTAAAGTTAGTTTTATGCCACTTTATAGAATATGATCCTTTTATATGATACAATGTTCTGTTGGACAACAGGTTCATAAGTCTGAAATTTTTAAAAATCAAGATCTGCCAGGCATGGGTAGCACACTCCTATAATCTCAACCCTTGGGATACTGAGGCAAGAATCACAAGATCAAGGCCAGACTGGGCTGCCTAGCAAGTTCAAGGCCAATGAGGACTACATAGACCCTGTCTCAATAAAATAAATTCAGGATCTGAGCTTATTTTGACACTGACCTGACTGACTACCTGATTATGATAAGGATAAGATTCCCTCACTCAGCTGTGAAGAATTTTCAGTAATAGTTATAGATGAAAATATTTCAAGGACTTGGAAATAGTGGCAACAAATGCGGCTGGAAAAAAAAGTAGTGTTTATTCTTCTGGATCTCCCTATAATTATATGGAATTTTATTAGGAAAACAGCAGCAAATGATCTTACCACCCTTGTTGAAAATAATTTAACCATATATGTGAGGATTTATTTCTGGGCTTTCTGTTTACTAATTTATTTTTAATGAGTGCTGTTTATCTGAGCTGGGGGTGGTGGTGCATGCCTATAATCCCAGCACTCAGGAGACTGAGGCAGGAGGATCATTGTGAGTTTGAAGCCAGCCTGGACTACATACTGAGTTCAAGGCCAGCCAGAATTACATAGTGAGACCCGGTCTCAAAAAACAAAAAACAACCAAAAAAAAAAAAAGTATTTATCTGTAATATGGATAAAGCATACTTCAGTAAAACATTCCTTTTTTGATGGACAGATGGGTTGTGTCAAAGCTTTTGCCACTCCAGTGTTGCTAAGCATCTTAGAATATAGTCTTACATCCTTTTATTTCTCCGTGATGGAGTCACAAAACTGGAATTACTAGATCAAGTACTTGTTTTATTTTCAGGAAGGTTATTTTCCCAAAGTGATGTATGAATTAACATTTCTGCCAGCCATCGATGAAAGCCTGTTTCTCCACATCCTTGGTAGAACATTTTTAATGTTTCCTAGTGTGATAAGTTAAAAATGTAAGAGGGCTTTGTCAATATTTAACAGTTAAAACTGAAAGGATACTGGAATTATTTCTTATATATTTGAAAGACATTTTACTTTTATTTTAATGTTTGTCCTTTCATAAAATGAAAAATGTGAGAACAGTTAAACAGGCAAATTGACATTTTGAAACAATCATAGTTTAAGTATATTTCCAGTTTTCAGCCATCTTCTTAAAGTAAACAAACTAGCCAATGGCTTCTAATTTTTCCTAGCTTAATGCAGATACCGAGAGAGAAGAAGGAGAAGAGTTTGAAGACAACATGGATGTTTTTGATGACAGCAGTTCCAGCCCTTCTGGCACCTTAAGAAATTATCCACTCACCTGCAAAGTTGTTTATTCCTACAAGGTTTGTATTTCTGCAACCTGTTGCTTAAGTTGTGGCACCTCTGAGGTAACTGTATCTACCTAGCTTCTACTGCTTGTGCTTAGCATAAAATTGACATTCAGTTAGCATCAGAGGCAACACAGCATAATAGTGAAGAGTTTCGGCTCTGGCATCAGACTGCTAGAGTTAAAATCTTGTCTCTTCTGCTTGTGAGCCTTATGACCTTGCACTAGTCCCTTAGTCTCTGTGAGCCTCAGTTTCCATATCTATATTATAGGGACACTATTGTAGGGTTACTGTGAAGATTAAATGAGCTAATACTTTTGTAGCAAAGCATTCACCACAGTGCTTGACATTCTGTGAATTTTCAGTAAATAGAGCTCTTACCTTTTGTCTCAATTGCCAATTTGTCATTAGGATGACTCCCAAAATTGATATCGAAGTAAAATTATTTTACAAATCAATTTTAAAACTTTGCCTTTCTTCATCCTAATAAAACTCTTGCGCTCCACATTAAGTAGGATTCTGGCTAAATAGATGTCAGAATTTCCAAATCTGGTTTCATATAATACTTCTTAATCTCTCTCACCCATACCTTGCTATTCCATTAACTTTTTACTCAGTATAAAATAAATTGAGTTTCCTTTCCCCAGCTATCTTTGTCTCACTCCCCTGTCTAATCCATCAGCCAATCCTATTGAAGCCACCCTGAAACATACTGAATCTATTCCCTTTTCATCATCTCTCTTGCTACCATCATGGTCTAGGCCATTGTTTTGATGAGGATAAAAGAGGAAGGGTGCCTCATGATTGTTCTCTCTCTTTCATAACTTGCCTCCCAACAGTCCATTTTCTCCTTTACAGCCACAATTTTCTCTGATGAATAAATGAGATGATTTTGTTCTCTTTGCTAAATCTTTTATTAAGCTTGCCATCACATGCAGGGAAAAAAATGCAAACTCTTCCCTGGGATCTATAATGTCCAGCTTGATCTGGCTCCAGTCAGTCTCCCTAGCTTCATGTCAGATTGTTCTCCTACCTCACCCACTCAATACACGTTAGACACTCTGGCTGCTTCTCAGCCTGCAAAAGCACCAGACTCCTTCCTGACTGCACATCTTTGCATTTTCTGTCCCTCTACCTAGAACTGTTTCTGCAGATCTCTGTTGGTTGCCACTTCTCTTCATTTGACACAGCTCAAATAGTGCCTCCTAAGATTACCCCTACCCAACATACAACCAACTCTTCAGTCATAACTCTCTATCCTAGTACCCTCTTTTATTTATTGCACAGTAATGTGTCACTTAACAATGAAAATACATTCTGAGAAATGCAGTGTTGAATAATTTTGCATCACAATAAGCTTACACCAATCTAGGTGGCACAGCCTACTACATATCTGAGCCACATGGTATAGTGTATTTTGTTCTTCAGGCCATGATGAACAAAACGCAGGATGAAATCAAACACAAGAGAAAATAATGCAGTCAATCAAAAGATGGACTTGAGACCTTGCACTTGTGAGGCAGATGGTAGAACCACTGAGCTAAATCCCCAGCCCTAAAAAACACCTTTGCCCTTTTTTTTTTGGTACTGGGGATTGAACTTGGGACCTTGTGCTTGCAAGGCAGGCGGCGGAACCACTGAGCTAAATCTGCAGCAATAAAAAAAGAGAGATGGAAGGGCTGGGAATTTAGCTCAGTGGTTCCGCCTGCCCCACAAGTGCAAGGACCCAAGTTCAATCCCCGGTACCAAAAAAAAAGAGATGGAAAAAACATGAGATGTATGAGGCTGCTGTCAGCCAGCATACTTTAGTAAACTTTTTTTGTAATAAGTAGAAGGAGTACATGCTAAAATAATGATAAAAGTGTAGTAAATACATAAACTAGCACCATAGTTATCATTATCAAGTACTATATACCATGCATAACTGTATTGCTATACTTTTATAGCACAGCAGGTTTGTTTATGCCAGCATCTTCACAAACATGTGCATGATGTGTTATGCTAAAATGTCAGGATGACAACAGTGTCATTAGGTTATAGGAATTTTTCATCTCCTTCATAATCTTATGGGACCACTGCATATGTGTGTGATCCATTGTTGAACAAATGTTGTTATGTAGTTCATAACTGTTTAGTTCTTATTACTGGAACTAGCCAAACTTAATCTTTCCTATTTTCATTATTTCTTTGTCTGGCTGCCACTGAAGGTCCATGAGAACAAAAACATTATGTCTATGCAACTCTTTTGTGTGTATTGAGCACCTGGAACAATGCCTGGTGCACAGTAGTCTTCAATAAATAATTATGGAACGAATGAATGATATAAGGAGAATGGGAACAAATGAATCATTCTCTGGCTCCCATTTGGATGGAAACAGCAGTAGGAAAGGATGATGCTGGGGCCAGGGATTTAGCTCACTGGTTCCACTCCTGCCTAGCAAGGACCAGAGTTTGATCCCTGGTACCAAAAAAAAAAAAAAAAAAGGAAAGGATGATGCTAATAGATAACAAACAAATGTTAAGAGATAACAATCATCAGGGCCGGGGATTTAGCTCAGTGGTCTTGCTGCCTGCTGTGCAAGCACAAGGACCTGAGTTCGATCCCCGAGCTACAAAAAAAAAGAGATAACAATCATCATACACTGTACAGCCACACTCCCACCAACATCTATAGCCAAAAGTTGATAGTATTTACTCCTCAATATTAGTAGTTCCCAGGCTTTTTAAATTTTAATTTTATTATATTTAAATTCATAATATTTCTTGCTTTCTAAAAGGCTTAGAAATTGTTTTCCAGTGTACATTGTTTTGATAATCTTCTTAAAATTTGAAATCATTTCCTGAGAAACTTGAGAATGTTTTACAGGATAAGACTAGGATTGAGAATATTTTCTGATGTCACCTTTCATTGTTACATTTACTTAAAAGTTCCAGAATTAAAATTTAATGCCCTTAAATGGAGAGCCCTAAGTGTCTGACCAAATGTTGTTATGCAGCATATAACTATATAGTTCTTATTACCAGCCAAATTTAATCTTATTTTTTTTCAAATTTCTTTGGCTCCCCACTGAAGATTCATGAAAGCATCATTATTTTAAACAGCTCACATTCATTCAATATTCCCTCCATTGGCATATCCCAGACATGTCCCTGTGGTTAACCAGACCATAAAAATCTATGTAATCAATCATTCAACCAATAGGTGCCCAATATGTGATAACTTTGGGAAAGTAAGAATGAACATGACAGGGCCAGAGATTTAGCTCGGGTTCCACTGCCTGCCTCACAAGCATAAGGTCCTGAGTTTGGTCCCTGGTACCAAAAAAAAAAAAAAAAAAGAATGAACATGACATTATCCATACCTTCCCGGAATGGATAGTCTTGGAGGGGATAAATATTAATCTAAAAACCATTTTAAATTAAAAAATATAACAGGTATGAAAAGATTTATAGTAAAGGGGGCTGGGGATATAGCTCAGTGGTGCCATACCTGCCTGGCAAGCTTAAAGTCCTGAGTTTGATCCCAGTACCACAAAAAATTTTAAAAAGATTTGTAGTAAAGATAAAGTCACTGATTGTACCTGCAATAGTTGGGAGGAATTTTACAGATGAGGTAGCATTTAAATTAGATTATAAATAAGACCTTTCTAGGTACAGTGAGAGGGTAGGGAGGAGAAGGGGCCTTGTAAGCAAGGAACCTCATATACCAGTGAGATAAGAATCTGGGGTGTTTGGGACGGGTCACATTCAATGCTGTGGAAATGGAGTACCCAGAGCGGGGATAGAGGGACAGACTTAAAGGAGTTTGCTCTCAGACTGTAAAGGGCCTGGTGTACCAGGCTTATAAGTTCGTTTTTTATCCTGGCTTGGAGGAGTCACTGGCTGCCCTAAAAACAGATTGGACTTTTAAGAAGGTAGACCTGAGCTGGGCATGGTGGCGCACCCCTGTAATCCCAGCACTCAGGAGACTGAGGTAGGAGGATTGCCATGAGTTCAAGGCTAGCCTGAGCAGTGTAGTGAGTTCAGGACGTACCTGAACTACATAGCAAGACCCTGTCTCAAAAAACAAAACAACAACAAAAAAGTGAAGGTAACCTGGTCATGATATAAAGCCAGATGTGTGCAAACTTTTAGCTTGCCTGGGCCTCACTGAGTAAAGCGTTGTATTGGGCCACATATAAAATACATAACACAGTGTATGTAAGTAATAAAAGTTTCTTTTTTATATGTTTTTTATTGTAACATTTACACACACCTATAATCCTAGCATTCAGGAGACTGAGGCAATAGGATTGCTGTGAGTTCAGGCCAGCCTGAACTACAGTACATAGTGAGACGTATCTCAAAAAACAACAAAAAATTTTTTTTCTTTTAAAGAGAACAAGCAGCCCACGGGCCACAGGTTGGACACACCTGGTAGACATCCTTTGGGAAACAGATTAGAGATTAGCTGGGCACGATGGCACGTACCTGTAGTCCAAGGTACTCAGGAGGCTGAGGAGAGAGAATCACTTGAGCCCAGGAGTTGGTGGCCAGTTTGAGCAGCATAGGGAGAAACTGTCACAAAAAGAGGGGGAGGGATTTAGCTCATTGGTTCCGGTGCCTGCCTCGCAACCGCAAGGACCCAAGTTCAATCCCTGGTACCAAATTAAAAAAGCAGAGATTGACTTTAACCCTCAGCATGATTCCTATAGTCTACCAGAGATGGCAAACCTTTTAGAGCTTTCAATGATACAAACAGCCAGCTGCAGCATGCATGGTGTAAAACCAGCAAATCCACTAGTCTAGACCAACAAAGAAAGCCTAGATTGATCTGATGAGAACAAAGAAAAGCTATATTTAATGGTTAAATTCAGAAGCCTTAAAAATGTTCATAGCTTTTAATCCTATTAGTATCCACTCTAAGGAAAGGAAACAAAATATAGAAAATGTTTTAGACACAAAATGTTTTTTCAGGGATGGGAGTTTAGTTCAGTGGTAGGTGGAGCACTTATCAAATATGAGCAGGGCCCCTGGATTTGATCCTTAGCACTATAAAAAAAAAATCATCCTACTACTACTACTACTACTCCTCTAATATCTTGAAGTTGGCAATCCAAGAAGAAAATAACCATTCATATAATATAACCACAACATATAATATTGTTATGAATATTTTTCAAATTTACATTACTAAGAATTTTTATGTAGGAAGAAACACAATGGCAAATTTTAAAGGATACCAAATTGTATGTACCTTCAGATCTCAATTATACATGATTTTCATACAATGAATCTATGTTACTTTTGTAACTTGGAAAATCGTATTGCTTTAAAAGAAAATACAGGAGGGCTGGGGATTTAGCTCAGTGGTTTCACCCCCTGCTGTGCAAGTGCAAGGACCCGAGTTCGATCCCCAGTACCAAAAAAAAAAAAAAGAAAATACAGGAAATTTGGAGAGATGGAGATGGGAATAGATTCTGTCACTGTATATTAGGAGGTAGGAGATGTGTGTATATGAGGTTAAAATGTGTATATTTAGCCATTTACTGACCAATTTCTGTCTGTAGTTGGGATATGTGAGAAGAAATAGTCTCTGCCTTAAGTAAGTCATTCTAATAGGGAGCCCACAAAACAACTAGAATGCAACTGTAGTCATTGTGAGGGGATGCACAAAGCCATATGGCAACAAAAGGAAGAGGAAGCAACTAGCTCATCATGGCTGGTCTGAGGAAATATAGGAGCTGGGCCACAAATTGTGAATAACAATAATAGCTATTGTTTCTTTATTCCTAATCTCCTCAATAACCCCATAGGGAAGATTTTTTCAATCTTTTTTTTTGAAGCAAAACTTTTATTGGTACATTTTAGATATACATAATGATAACATTCAACATAGGGAATTTGTACCTGTATATGATATATCTTGCTTCTTTTTGTCCCACTCCCCACCCCGACCCCTCTTCCCCCCATTATTTACAAAAGCTTTGTTTCCATTTTTTCCTTCTATTCTCTTTTTTTTCTTGTCCTCCCCTCCCTTGTTCCCCTTCTCATTTGAAGACTTTATTCCCATTTCCCAATATGTATTATACATTTTGGTCTGTAAGGAAGATATTATCAAACAACTCATCTATCATAGTCCTGTTCTCTTTTCCAGACTCTAGAATGCAGCATTGATCAAGACGAATACAAATCTCTGCCTTCATAGAGTTTATGTTCTTGTAGGAAATAAAAGAAAACTGAGAATCAAAGGGATACAGTTGCTTGCCCATAGAAACCGACTGAAGCTGGACTTAGATCCACAGTCATCTGACTTATTCAGCAGATAGGAAGGACAGAGCAGAGCATGCCAGATAAAAGGAATAGTCCAGTAGAAGCATAGAGGCAAAGAAGAGCATGGTGTCCTCAGTGAACGGGGAAGAATGTGCTGGTCCAAAGCACTTCGAGGCCCAGGAGACCAAGCTCTGGAGGTCTTGGTTGCCATGCAAAGGTCAGCCTTGTTTAGTGGAAGAATGGTTATCAGTGCAGGAGGACAGTACAATCATACTTGGTGCCTGTTTCTGTTGAACGACGTACACAGTGTACATGGACCTCCGTGACTTTCTCACAAGGGCAGAACATATTAAAAGGTACTCTGTCCCTCTTGCTTTGCTCTCAACACACATTAAAGTCAGTTGTTTTGATACCTTTAAGTCTTGCCATGTAATTAGGAATATATCTTTATTACAAGGATGCATTTTGCTGGTATATTCAAGGCAGTGTGGTTGAAGAGTAGCAAAGAAATTCCACTGGAAAAGTTATATAGAGTGGTGTTTTTCCCCTCACGTCTTTAGATCAGAGGTAATTTACTTAAAGTTTGGTCTCTGGTTGGTCTTAGTCATCAGTTTTCAATACAGTACTTTTTTGTCTCAAGGAGCTATGGAAACATCTAGAATCTGAGTTTTGATTAAATTCTTCAGTGTTCATGCAGTAACAAATGGGTCTTAGGAAGTTCCTTACTTTCTTGACTTCCTTTGTGCTTGTATAATTGGGAGTTATTTTACACTTTCAGTTGAGATTTTTAAAACTGTGGTTTCACCAGACATGGTGGCGCATGCCTGTAATCCCAGCACTCGGGAGGCTGAGGCAGGAGGATCACCGTGAGTTCAAGGCCCGCCTGGGCTACATAGTGAGTTCAAGGCCAGCCTGAACTACATAGCAAGATAGCAAGACCCTGCCTCAGGAAAAAAAAAGAAAAAAAAAAGAACAACGAAAAACTATGGTTTCAGGTGATAAGTTTTAATTGACCTTAGGACTTAGAGAAAAAATTGAAGGCTGTTTACTAGAAAGCCAGAAGATGCCAGCAAACCCCTGCCTGTTGCATGTGACAGGCAAGGCTCTTTAGGAAGCAAAGCTCTGGAGCTACTAAAGAGTTTCCTCAAATATGGTGACTGGTGCTGTCAGAGTAATAAAATACAGCTTGTACAGAAGCATCCAAGGGGAGTCAGCCCAGGCTCCACATTAAAGTTGAAGCATAATCCAAAGCTTGACTGATCTCAGTCATTCCTTTCCCACAATTTTCCTCTTACAGACACTGTTTTACAGCAATTCCAGATCAGATGTAGGCATTGCTCAAGCTACCATCCAATTCACATACATAGTTCTTTTTATTTCCACAGCATGACCTCCATGGTAGCCCTCCTGTAGCAGTTTCATTTCAGTGCCTTCTCCTTTGCCTATACTTCCCAAGTCATCATGGTTCTGTGCTTACTCATCCCATTTTGACTCCTCCATCCTCCAGAAAATGGCAGGATTGTCATTTTAAGAAATGGAGGCATCAAGTTGAGTAACTTACTAATACGTACATAAGCGGGAGCTGTAACCCAGATCTGCTCCTTCCAGTATGGTGCTTTCTTCACTGAACCCGTTTGCCTCTTGAAGATCCAGTTTCTGTTACAGTTTTATTTTGTTTAGTTTTTTTTTAAGTAAAATTTCACTTCATTCTGATAGTTTTACAGCATTAAAATTTTTGTTTCTCAAAATCATTTCAGTATTTGATCCTTGGTTTTTGTTACAGCCAACTCACATCTGCTCTTTATCTAACCTTTATAATTTTGTCCATGACCATCCTACATTGCAGGCTTCTCAACCAGATGAGTTGACCATTGAGGAACATGAGGTGTTAGAAGTGATTGAAGATGGAGATATGGAAGACTGGGTAAAGGTATATTCCTTTGCTCATATCACCCCTTCTTGTGACATTTTAGGAGTTTCTTTTGGTTCTTGTTATTCCCTGTTCAAATTGTGTATGCAAACCTTTTTGTCACATGTCTTTCACCAGGCTCGAAATAAAGTTGGCCAAGTGGGTTATGTGCCAGAAAAGTACCTACAGTTTCCCACTTCGAACAGCTTACTAAGCATGCTGCAGTCCTTGGCTGCTTTGGACAGTCGGTCACATACATCCAGCAATTCTACAGAAGCAGAACTCGTTTCAGGCAGCCTCAACGGAGATGCCAGTGGTAAAGACTGAAACAAGGCACTCTTTACTTGGTCACATTTGACCTAAGCTCTATTACCTGGGAGTAAGCCATCAGTAGGTTAAAAAGTACTTTATTTCTATCCTATACGGTTTTCCTGTATTTGGTAACATTCGTCCTGTGCAGTAAAACCCTAAAGTTGATTTTCAGTGAGTAAAAACATTACAGCTTTACTCCTATCCTGTGTGATGGTCTTTGAGTTGTCATGTGAGCCTAGGGATGGGTGCAGAAGCAGTCTAGCTATAAATGTTCTTACCAGATTTGTTTCTCTCTTGCCCTCTAGTCTGTTTTGTGAAAGCACTTTATGATTATGAAGGCCAGACAGATGATGAATTATCTTTTCCTGAGGGAGCAATCATCCGTATCTTGAACAAAGAAAACCAAGATGATGATGGCTTCTGGGAAGGAGAGTTCAATGGGCGGATTGGAGTTTTCCCATCGGTGCTAGTGGAAGAACTTTCAGCCTCAGAAAATGGTGACACTCCATGGATGAAAGAGATTCAGGTACATAAGAGGGAAGAAAGTTGAATTACAGAATGGTTAGAGAAAATTACTCCTAAGAGGTTTCTTGATCCAGGCAAAAGTGGGCTCTCAGGTTGGGGATGTAGCTCAGTGTTAGAATACTTGACTAGTTTAATCCCCAGTACCACTTTTTTAAAAAATGGACTGTAATCTCTCTGCCTCACCCTCTCCATTCCAATTCTGGTTGTCATGTATCTACAAAACTGAATTCGGGACGCCAGAGAAAGACTTGTGAGGCCCTTGTGGAATATGGCCACACTACACCTCCAGACCCCCATATTCTGTTTTCTGAATCCATTATTCAAAATGCTAAATGGTATGTAACATATGAAAGATGGGTTTGGTGGAGAGAAAGAAGCAAACCAGAGAGGGAATGTATTCTCTGTGGTTCATTTATGTAGTGCAACTCAGCTGGCTCCTTCTCTCCCTCACTGTCAGAGCCCCCTTGCCCAACCCACATCCTGCGAGGGGCCCTGACCCACTCTTAGGTAGCTCTAGCCTTTGCTCATCATAGGGAACTTGACTTTACAGGAAATCCCTAATTCAGTCACTTTGGGGATCTGTCACAACAGAACTTGAAGGTAGCAGAAAAAAGAACATGCATGCCGGTCTTGTGTGCATGGTAATTGTTACATACAAAACCTAGCAAAGTCACAAACTCAGCCAATTATTTTATTTTAACATACTGAAAAACACAACTTGTTTTCATTGTGTTCTTCACTGGGTTTACTGAATGGGCTAATTTGTTACATTTTTCAATGGAGTCTCAGAATGGTTTGACTTGATTACTATGTAAGATAAATTTAAATCAGTAGTATATGAGATCTGTGAAAGGAAAATGTTAGGTATTACACAAAACTGGATTTGGGATGCTTATTTTAAGGCCATTTGCTTCTAATGTGGCTGACAAGTTTTAACAGTTACAACCTAGCTCCAGAGAGGAATATGTGCTGAGCCCCAGAGAAGCACCCAGCTGTCCTTCCTGAAGCCAAGGGCACCTGGTAACCTTGACTCCCTTGCTACAGATCTCTCCTTCCCCAAAGCCGCACGTCTCCCTGCCTCCACTGCCGTTGTATGACCAGCCTCCCAGCAGCCCTTACCCTAGCCCAGATAAGAGGAGCTCCCAGTTCTTCCCCCGATCTCCTTCAGCACAAGGTAAGGGTCCTCCAGGGCAGTCTAAATGTATTTTCACTTCAGAAATACACTAGTGATTTTATTGCTTAACAGCACAAATAAATTGAGCTTCTTTGGTTCTCTCCCTTAGAAAACAACCTTCATGCTGAATCCCCAGGATTCTCACAGGCATCCAGGCAGACCCCTGAGACCTCATATGGCAAACTGCGACCTGTAAGTCTCCTGTTCATCAGGGTTATGGACTGCATAGTTCTTCCAGATTGAAAGTGAGAAATTAATATGTTCCTGTTACACCCAGTGAGAGAGAACCAACCAGAGACCGATACTAAATCCACACAGGAGTTTATTACCGGCCGGGACTCGAGCGGAGCATCGGACTCGAGCCCCGACTAGGGGGAGACAGACATGTTTTATACACCTTTGAGGTCAACAGTTTCTAGGCCCCCCTATGGGATAGAACTAGCAAAGCAAGCGAAAGGTACAGAAGCGGAATGTCCTGCCATTAGAACATTTGTAAAACAATAGTTGATTAACTGTTTCTAAAGAGACTTTCTAAGGGGAGGAGGTTTTTAAGCTTCCTCCTTCTAAGTTCATCTAAAGGGCAGGCAGGTGGGTCAAGCAGCAATATGGAATCTGTCTTGCTAACTAGGGTCCTTCAGTTCCCACACCCCTGTGTTGTTACTGATTCTGCCAAGCAAGGGTAAAGGGGTTGGGATGGTTAAATGAACTGTTGAAAGGCTGTGAAGTCAGCTCACTTGGAACATTTAGTCTGTATTAGAACTTTTCTCCCTCAGCCATGGTAAGAGCACACAAGATAATACCTGTGCAGATGTATTTAAATTGTAACAAGTTCTCTGAACATAAAGTAGTGTAATTGTAAAACAGAAGCAATTCTTTTATCAAGCATTAATTAAGAACCTATTTTCCAGACCTGTATTTGTCTGTGTGAGGGACACTGAAATGAAATTATATACTTCTTGGCCTCAAAGAATTTCTGTTTTCTGGGAGAATATGTTCTGATAAGTAGTTACTTGTGCTCTTCACTCTCCTGCTGTCTCAATTTTACCTCAAACTACACTCCAAGGTCATAGCTTTCACACTACTTATCCAAAGGATGCTTTGCAAATTTATTTTCCTTGACCCTGTATCAGCATTTAATACCATGCTTTGAACGACTGGCTTCATTCACTCAATAGATGTGCTTGAGTGTCTTGTTAGGTGTTAGTTAAGCAGAACAGTGTTGTTGCATTTTTAAAGCATTGCTATGGCTGCTAAGTAGAAAGTAATGGAGGGTAGCAGAATAGACATGGGTGACCACTAGGACCCGTGAGCAGTGGTCCAAGCAGGAGGCAGTGGTAACATGAGCTGGTGGGTAAGAGTGAGAAAGGAGAGAAAGAGACTGATTTGCTTGCTCTACCCCACTCTTCTGGCTTGCTTTCCACTTGTCTGGCCCTTTAATGGACCTTTGCAGGCTTCTTTGCTTCTATCCATCTCTGCTGATAACTTCTCATGGTTCTGTCCCAGGACTATTTTTCTTGAAGTCGGTGAAGGCATTCTCCCCAACTTATCATATCTAGTCCCATGGCTGTGAGAACCATTTATGTACCAACAACTCCCAGATTTTTGTTTCTTACCTGAGCTTCAGACTTGTGGTCATCACATCTTGTATGTCCCAGACCCCAAAACTCAGCAAAAATTATTTAGACACACTCCTTCATCTCTATTGCCTTTCTTGGTGAGTGGAACCGACATCCTACCAGTACTCTGGATCATTGCTGGCACCTCCCTAGCCATCTCCCACAAATAGTCAATTCCATATCCTACCAGGTTTACCTCAGAGACAGCTCTCAAAACTCTGCTGCCCTGCTTCCACCTTTGCTGCTCTCGTTCTGGCTAACATCAGCTCTCTTGTCAGGTGACTGAAAAAGCCTCCTAAGTTATTTTCCACCCCCCTTTTTTACAGACAAGTACCACCATGCCTAGTCTAAGTTATCTTCTTATTTTTCTGGTCCACCTCTGACCTCTACTCTAAAGTGGTACCTGAGTATTTTCACAGATCTGACACTGCTTGTGATCCAGCAAAGACTCCTCTTTACCTATGGAATAAAGCCCAGATTTTTTTTGTCTAGTAACCACATTTATTTTTTGTTTGTTTGGTTCGTTGGTTTTTTGAGACAGGGTCTTGCTATGTAGTTCAAGCTGGCCTTGAACTGCTATGTAATCCAAGCTGGCCTCAAACTCATGGCAATCCTCTTGCCTCAGCTTCCCAAGAGTGCTGGGGTTACGGGCATGCACTACCATGCCCAGATTTTTTTTTTTTTTAACATGGCTTAGCAAAGTCTTTCACATCCTTGTTTTTGTTGTTAAGACAGGGTCTTGCTGTATAGTTCAGGCTGGCATTGTACTCACTAGCCCAGGCTGGCCTCAAACTCGCAGTGATCCTCCTGCCTCAGCCTCCCAAGTGCTGGGATTACAGGCATGCACCACCACATCTAGCTGTCCTTCACATCTTAACCCCATCCTGCCTCACCAGCCTTCTCTCTGGCAACTGTCCTCCTAAGACAGGTTGACATGATTTTCAATTCTCTAAACATTTCCCTCTGTCAACTCCAGGCCTTGACTTTGAGAAGGATTTTAAGACTGCTGTGACTCTTGCTGCCACAAGGCTTTCAGCCTAGGCAGCAACTTGATTTGTGGGTTTGCCAAGTCATCCAGTACAGCACCTGCTTTTCAGGGTGGGAAGCAGTGAATCCTAGATGGAAAGTGCTGGGTGCTCATGCCCTTGATAAAGGAGTGGTTAGGGTTTGCAGACACTCCACACCCTTCAGGAAACTGACAGCCCATGTTACTCTTCACTGCTCAGGTCCGGGCAGCTCCCCCTCCACCTACACAGAACCACCGGAGGCCAACGGAGAAGATGGAAGATGTGGAGATCACACTGGTGTGACAATGGGCTTGCCCTCCATTATGGCTACAATCAAGGCCAGTCTTGGAGTTTGGCCAGTCTTGTTTTTTAGGCACCTTTGCATGATGACTTTTGAACAGAGCATAACCAAGGAGGATTCTATGTGACTGGGTGGCCTGGCGGACTTTTCCCACGTTTTGAATATTTTGTGCCTTTTTTTGTTGTTATTTTCTATGTCATCTCTCATACCATAGCACAAATCCTAGTGGGCCCCAGCACAGAGGGGACATCCCTTATGCCTAACAGTGGTCCATTTTTATGTGATACTCAAAGCCAGGCCACGTCCCAGGGCACAGTCACAGAATTACTGATCATGTGCCCTCGTACAGTATATTACTGTGGCCACAAGGGTGTGGCAAAGATCTCATCTTTCTCCAAGTGACTTTTGCTCATCTGATTAAGTATTAATCAGATCATGCTGGCTCCAAAAGGAAACAGAAAGAGGGATCAGGAGAGGCTGGCTCCTCCCCGAAGTTCATCCCCAGACTGAAAGTGAACCCTTACTGAGAAAAAAACGGACTGCCCTGAATTTAGCACCATTGACATTAATACACATCTCTTCCACAACTAACAGGTTTAAAATAACAGTGTCGTTTGTCTGAATATTTATGCCATTCATTTAGTATTAGTGGGGCTAACCTGGAGGGGCTGAACTAATAGCCACATCTTGCCCATCACATAGACTAATAAAAAGGAGGCTATGGCTAACACAGAACTGGAGCTTCCAGATCTGAAGTGAGCCAGTTTAATGTTCTTTTTGTCTTTGGGTAGTTCTCAGTTTTTACAGCATATACTTTTCTGGCCAATACCCTTAGAACATGAATGTCTGGATAAATTGAGGACACATGTCTGCATCATTGAGCTTCCCTACTGGGGAGGCCTCTAGAATTATTTCATTCCCAAGCCAGCACACTGGCCCAAATAGCCAGGTTGTGGCTAGTGCAGACCAGCTGTCACTCATGGGAAATGCAGCTTTCAGGTCCCCCTGCCCTGACATTTCCTTTGGAGGAAGATCCTGTGAGCCCATGGTGGAAACCGGCTGCCTATGAGAAAGGACTAAAGGATGCACAGCTTGCACAAATGCAGGCTGACAAGCAAAGAGCTGTGTGTGTCCCAGATTGGTAGGGGCTTCTCCACACCACAGTAGCAGGGCCCAGAGTGGAGCTCTGGCTGTCCACCCCATGGAAGGTAGGGAATGTGTTACCTAGGAACCAAGGGATTTTCCCCAGCTGCTTTAAAAATTTTTGTCATGAAATCAGATTTTCAGGGGCCAGGAATGTAGCTCAGTGGTGCAGCGCCTGCCTGGTACCAAAAACAAAATCAGAATCCAAAAAGTTGCATTATGCTTTCAGAATTCCACACCCTTCATAAGAATCTTTAAAAACTTGAAATATTCGCCAAATGTCCCTGTGGGATTTTTGACCAAGAGCGGAAGAAATTTTCAGTTAGTCATTTGATCACTTAAGTAACAGTAGTCCTTGCTGAATCTTCTCAATGATTTTTGTTTTGTGGTTTTTGGCATTTCTTAACTTGTTGATCTATATGAGGTCTTTTTACGTTTATCAAACTTATTCTTAAGTTTAAAAAACAAAAGGATGTTTTTAAAAAGATTTTAGAAGTTTCTGACATCTTACAAATCTCTCAAGTGCTTATTAAATAGAGCAGTTCTTGCCACCCCATCATGTATTGTCTTTAGCTAGCCAAATTGTCCTTGAATTTGAGTTTTCCACAACCTCAGAATTATTTCAAATCTTTTGTTATATTTTAAAATATATTTTGGAAGAGCTGCTAATTTTATTTTAAAAAAACAGTTGTGAAAATATGCCTCCTCTTTTAAAAAAAATAACCCCTCCTCCAGAACATATATCCCAGTGTCACACGCACAGGGCAGGGCTCAGAGGGAGCCTCTGTGCACATGCGCTTTCTTTACAGTGGCTGTAAAAAGTTTGTATTTATTATGTATAAAATGTTGAATAATAAAAAAAATGGAATTAAGTTTTCTAAGTGTCTTTATAAAAAGATTTGGGTGAATAGGCTTTTCCAAAAAGAACATGCTTTTGCTAAAGATATGTACTCCTGGGCCCTCCTTAAATCATTTATCCGATAGAGAGAAAAAGTAAATCTATCTGAGGAACAGTCCCTGTGTGCTAGGTGTGATATCCTGCATACTAGAGAGGGAAATAAATAAGTAATGGTGTCTGCCTTCACAGGTCTTTCCCAGTGGGGAAAAAAAAACTGGTCCATTGGGCTGGGGATTTAGCTCAGTGGTTTCACCGCCTGCCTCGCAAGTGCAAGGTTCAGAGTTCGATCCCCTGTGCCAAAAAAAACCCAAAACAGGTCCATACATGAGGCCAGTGCTGTGAGACCTGCTGAATGAAGGGGCAGACAGTGTGCTGGGGAGGGAGCTCAGATTCTGCTACTGGAGGGGTAAGAGGAGGGTCTTGGATGTCCCCTTAGAGGATGTGACTGCTGGCTTCCAGAAGTGGTTATTCTGGTTGCCTGTTCTCTCCTAAATCTCTACCCTGAGGGTAAATTGTGTGAAAAGAAATTTCTTTGGCCTCAGGGATGGATAGAGGAGTCCTGGTTACAGGCTGAGTCTCTCTGGCCTCCAGCCAGCTACACTAAGGACCAGGTCTAACCTGTTGGGAGCAGACTCCCACAAACTCTCCTGTTTCTCGGAGCTGGGAATGTATGGTATGTAGTCTCCCAAACATTTTTCTGTGCATAAAACTCATATGAGAATTTATGATTTATGCTTGTGAAAACACTGCTTGTTTTCACCTATTCTGGATCAGTTCAATTATTCTAAGATAGAGTAAGAGTATTACACAACAGGTCACATGTTTGAGAACAGACTTAAGAGTACATGGACTAGGGCCAGGGATTTAGCTCAGTGGTTCTGCCCCCTGCCTCGAAGGCACAAGTACCCGAGTTCAATCCCCAGTACCCAAAATGTATGGACATCTTGAGATGGCAAGAAATTTAAAAGAAAGTTCAAGTCATTGGACTCCTCCACTGAAACAAACCAACCCTCATGCTCCAAGTTGCAACAGACATCCCAGGCTACTCTAATCGCTCACCACACAAGCCCAGCCACAGCTGATCTTAGGTGTGTCCCTCCCCACAAGGGGTATCCAACTCAGGACCTTGCACTTGCCAGGCAGGTGTGGTGCCACTGAGCTAAATCCCCGGCCCTGATCTTAGTTCTAATTATTGTCTGGCCATTTCTAAGTGGCCTTATGACCAAATCTGGCTGCTCAGAATCTTTGCCTTTGTTTTTGTTCATTATGAAGTTGTTTTTCATGACACAAATACAGCCAAATTACAGAAATTGTAAGTTAAAGGGGGAAGAGTTGAAATTTGTCCTGAACTCTTATGGCCTGACACGCCAAGTTTCCTCCTAGACCCTTCATGTGTTTGCTTTGTTACTGTTTGATCTGCCAAGAACCACTAGAATACCAAAGAGCATTTTTTTTCTGGATGGTTTTTCCTTGATCCCCATGGCCAAAAAAACACACATAGTACTTCTGCCATATCTGTTTCTGAAAACTCTGGTCTGGAAATATTCTCCTGGAGTGTTTTATCCTGAAACAAAGAGAGGAACCCACACCCCTTCTACACTGTGTACTGCACACCCCCTCTATTAATCCTGTGAGGGGCAAGGTAAAAGCCTGGTGAAAAGACCTGTATTTGAGTCCCTGAGCCACCCGTGATCCACTGTGACCTTAGGCTCAACGCTCAGCTCTTCACCTCTGGGCCTGCCTTTTCTTGTCTATAAAGTGGGAATGAGAAGGTAATGCAATCTCGCTAAAATCCAGGAAGATTAAGTAAATAATGTGTGGATGAATTGAAGATGTTTCTGATTAGCAGGTATACTTCAAAGAAAGCAAACAACTGGGTGTGGTGGCAGACTCCGGTAATCTCAGCACATGGGAGGCTGAGGCAGAAGGATCACTGAGTTTGAGGCCAGCCTGAGCTACATAGTGAGACCTTGTCTCAAAACAACAGCAACAAAAAAAAGTAAAATGTACCAATAAAAGAACTTAAGAATTAAAAAAAAAAAAAAAAAAAGGCAAACAGCCTGTACACAGACATGGTATATCTGAATCTCTCTTATGGGCCTCTACTTGGTGTCAGGATTCCTCCACTGCCATGAACCATGTTCTTGGCATTGGAGTCCAGTTCCTATCACTAAGGAGTTCACAGCTGATCAAGGAGACTCAAGAACATCAGATTCATGGTGGCACACGCCTGTAATTCTAGCACTCAAGAGGCTGAGACAGGAGGATCGCTGTGAGTTCAAGGCCAGCTTGGGCTACATAGTGAGTTCAAAACCAGCCTGAACTACATAGTGAGACCCTGTCTTAAAAAAATATGTATCAGATTCAAGCCCAGTCTGGGAGGTGACCAAGGAACAGGAAGAATCCAGAACAAGGGCATCTGTTATTTCTTCCTCCCTGAGGTCTCTATGGCCTGTGCTATCTGTGCCTGCTGAACAACAGGTACAGCTTTGTCAGCTTTAGGAGCCTGGAGCTTTGGGAAAGAATCAGTTTCACAGATGAGGATATACAGCCCAGAAGCTGCTGTGATTTGTCCAAGATTTCTCAAGTCACTGGACTGGGAGCAGAACCTGTAACTGGTCCTCCTGAAGAACAGCCCAGCCCCTCAGCAGAACCTGAGTCCAGTTCTTGCCAAAGAGAATCAGAGGCTTGGGTCCCTCCCCCATTCTGCTGTGTGACCCTAAGCTCCTGCCTCTTCTCTGGGCCTTAATTCATGTATACAGCAAGGGCAAGGCCATTCCAATTTTCTACTAAGGACCCAAACTCAGGCACCCCTTCAGCACCTGAGCATCAAAATCCTGAGCATTGACTCTCAACAGCCTGGCACAATTGCTACCACTAGGCCCCTCTGCTAAAAAGACCAGAAGGGGGCCGGGATTTAGCTCAGTGGCACTGCACATGCCTCGAAAGCACAAGGTCCTGAGTTCAATCCCTGGTACAAAAAAAAAAAAAAAGACCAGAAGGGCAGCCTGCCTTGAGCACGTCCCCTGTAGTGTATTGGCATCTCTTCTTCCAGCCCACCTCATTCCCTGGAAAGCCTCAGCCTGACTCTCACCTTCTAGACCTGCTCCTCCAAAAAGCACAGGAAAATAGAATGTGCTCCCTGAGAGAAGGCAGCTGCACCCCAACAGCTGTGTGGTCAGAAGTGGAAGGGAAGCCTTGCAGGGAGTGGAGGAGTTGCTGTCCTAGGGAGTGAGTCACATTATTTCCTGGGGACCTCTTCTGAGTCACTTAAGCAGTCTCATAACCATCCTGTGAGGTGCAACAAAACCACATACACTGAGGAACTTACCCCAGTGGTGTAGCCAATAACAGCCTCCCAGGATTCAAGTTTCCCTCACTCCTGTGTCCCTCCATGTCCTCACTTCAAGAAAGCTCAGGGGCCAGAATGGAGGACAGAGAAGATGCAGGGAGGAAAGTCAGACACAAAGCAGGAATCACACACACCCCAACACCCCACACCACAGGGGCCCTTGCACCCCTGCCTAACTGGGAGCCTGAAGTCTGGACGTTTTGTTTTTAAAAGTGTGTAGTGCAGTCACAGTCCAGCTATGTCATTAGCTGTTTGATCTTGAATCACTTGATGTCTGAGCCTTGTTTTGCTCATCTGTAAAACATGACAGATCACACAGTAGTTGGAACAAGTAAGAAGTGCAAAGCGAGGCTGACACATCCTAAATGCTTAGTGATGGCGACTAGGAGCTTTGGTCTTTCCAGATCCTAATCCCTGGAGGGTTCAGAATGGTCTGGGCAAAGATTAAGCCGCTGGTGACCCCTGGTGGCCACCGGGAGCCAGGGCAGGAGGGCTGGAGCCGGCCTGAGGGGAGATTTGGTTTGGGCTCCTGGAACCCTGTTAACTTGCTGTATCCCTGAATAAGAGAATTGATCACTTAAGAAACATTCCCATGCCGGGGATTTAGCTCAGTGGTTTCGCCGCATGCTGCACAAGCGCAAGGACCCGAGTTTGATCCCCAGTACCAGAAAAAAAAAAGGAAACATTTCCTAAGGTTTTGCTAGGCCAGGCCTGATCCCAGAGAATACTCTGTTCCCACCCAGGCCTTTTTCAAGAGCTCCCTGACTTAAAATGGAGGGGGATAGATACAGAGGAGGGTAAAACAAGAGGCCTCCACCCAGCCTGGCAGGTGAGGGAAGGACTCTCAGTGGGAACAGCCTTAAGGACAAATCTGAATTGCAGGTGAGAGGGACAAGAACATTCTGGACAGAGAAAAAAGCATGTGTATGACACATTTAGAATAAAAAGCAAATGAAGATGCAGGCCAGGAGTGGCATCTAAAGGGCTTTGAATTTCAAGCTGAAGAGTTTTTGTGAAGGCAGCAGAGAAACTTCAAAGGATCAGCCATGACACCTTAGGAAGTCACTCTGGCTCAGGCACAGGCAGGAGGGAGGGGCAGGACAGGGAGGAAATAGAAGTCTAAAAGGTGCCCTAGAGTGGCTTCAGGGATGAAGAACTTCAGGCACAGCAGCCCCAGGCTCTGCTGCTGTGAGGGTCAGAGGTAACATGCAGGGGAGATGACAGCCAACAGGCACCTGGGCACGTCTTCCAGAGCTCAGGGGACCACCAGGCCTGGAGGGATGGTGGAGCTGGGAGCTGGGAGCCAGCAGGATGCAGCTTTTGCTGTTTGGGGGGTATTAATGGGGATGGAACTCAGAGCCTTCACACTGACCTACAACCCCAGCCCCTTTTTTAAAATTTTGAGACAGGGTCTCACTAAGTTGCTAAGCTGCCCAGGCTGGACCCAAATGTGTGATCCTCCTGCCTCAGCCTCCCAGAGTGCTTGGGATTATAGGCCACACCACACCCAGTTAGATTTGCTATTTGATCAATACTCATCTATCTCCGCAGGCTTGTGCCCAGCTCTAGGCTGCAGAAGAAGTGGGATGCCAGGCTTTGCCCTATGACCCCTCAAACTTGGGCTCACTGTGTGGATTAAAAATGTAAGTGAATGGGCCAGGGATTTAGCTCAGTGGTTCTGCCGCCTGCCTTGAAAGCGCAAGGACCTGAGTTCAGTCCCCCGTACACACAAAAAAAAGTAAGTGAAGTCCCAGGCCTAGTCCATGCTGCCTCCTCTACCCTGAGCTCTGCCTCTGGAGGAAGAACGGGGCCTTGGTTTACTGGCAGGCCCAGTGTACCAAGTATCCTGACATCACTCTAGCATATTAGGATCCTTTCCACTGGGACCCCTCTAGGATGCCTCCCCTGCTCTGTCTACAGCCTCAGTCTATCCAGGGTGCCTGAGCAGGAAGCCCATGATGTTGCTTTGGCCTCATGACTGGATCAAGGGTCACATCCCCATCCCCAAGAGCCACTGCTCTTTGCTGCCTCTGGGCCCCTCTTCATGCTGTTCTCATGGTTAGATAGGAATAGTGCCCATCTCCCCAGGCAGGAGGAAGAGAACCCCCACATCCCCCCCAGTTCAAAGGTCTCCTTGTACCCAGAATGCTGCAAAGAAGCAAACAGACACAGTTTAGATACACTTTCCACTTTTGGGAGAGGAAGTGGGGAGACAGATTTTTAAAAAACTGTAATTTCTCAAACCCTTACTTTGTTTTGGCCAAGTCCTGCCAGGCCTTCTTCCCCATATGTCTGGAGGCCACCCACCCACCAGCCCCAAGGCTCTGGAGCCCAGTGGAGCAGAGGGAAGCTGTTTGGCTTGTTTCAGACCAGCGCTGCAGCCCAGGCAGGGGAGTCATGACACACCCTAGTGCCAGAGTACCACCTTCCTGCCCTGGTCCACGCTCACCACATGGCTCCCGGAGCAGCACCAGGCCACGGCATTGACAGCAACACTGAGAAAAAGGGAGGGCAGGCTTCAGGGGGCAACCAGGTCTGCAGCCAGGCTATGCCCCTCCCTGCTGGGCCTGGGCAGTTTGAGGCCCCCTTTTGAGCCCATTTCCTCATCTGTAAAATGAGCTCACAGGGCTGTGATAAGGATGGCGCAATGCACGTGGAAGGGCACGTTGTGACCTGTGAAGGGCTTTGGTGGGATGAAAGGTTTGGGTTCATGTCAGAACCTGGCTTCAGTTTGGCAGGCCTCGGGGCAGGGCAGGAAAGGGGGTGGCTGTGCTCACCAGTGGGGCCCCTGAAGGGTGCTCTCCAGTTTCCCGGTGTCTACGTCCCAGATGTACAGAGCTCCGTCCCAGGAGCCTGCCAGTGCATAGCGTCTGTCAGGGCTACAGTGGCCACAACAGAGCAAGAGAAATGTGCTCAGAAGTGAGGACACACACAGGGTGTGTGTCCAGACAGGGCACACTCGGCACAGGCTTCCTCTCGTAGACACACCTGAACACAGCTTTGGTCCAGTCAGAACCACACTTGAAGCCATCGGCCCTGAGGACAGATGGGGCCAGGGTCAGAATGAGGGCCCTGTCAGCCCTGCCCCCCAGCCAGGAGCTCCAGGAGCCTCCTCTGTCAAAAGTTGGGTCCCTCCGAAGGGACCCCCCAGAGAGGGCCCCAGAGGGCCATCCACAGGAGAAGAGAGGTCTAGCTGCCCCAGCAAAGGCCACAGGGTCAGCAGACACAAGTCTGGTACCTGAACACCTGGCGGACATTGCTGACGCGCAGGTCAATGACCTTGAGTGTGTCGTCACGGGAACAGCTGAGCAGATTCAGCTGGTCATTGCTGAGGCTCAGGGAGGTGACTCTGCCCTGCACAGGGATGACCTGGGTGCAGCAGGGCCCCCTGAAAAGTATCCCAGAGAGAGGGGTGAAAAAGAGCTCCCCCTGGCCTGGGTCACTCCTGACAGAAAGTGCCAGCGAACCAAATCCAATGGCACTCCAGGGCCTGGCTCTCTGGGGCTGAGGCCACCCACTGAAGCTAGCTGCCTCCAGTGAGGAAGTTCAGCAGACTTTGAATTGAGAGCCAGGCCCAGCATTGGCTCTCATTCTGATTTTGTAAATGGTTCACACCCAATGCCAGGCTCTTCAGTTTAAAAAACTAAATTTTTCCTTTTGATTAAAAAATAGTAGCAAAATGGGAAAAGGTGTTCGTCTATCTTGATTATAAAGCCTAGGGAGAGTCCAGTGCTGGACCAAGAGCCACTAAGAAGGTGGCACAGCTCCTGGAGGGGTAGGCTGAGCCCTCAAAGGGCTCAGTGCAGCTGGCGCCACAGCCTCACTTCCCTGAGGTACATCCATGACCCTTCCTTCCATGGCCAGAGAAAGGAATGAGAATTTCAGGACTCTGTCCCCAGGCCTCCAACACCCACCCACAGCCAGTCCTGTTACCTGCTGTCCCAGAACCGGATCTTCTGGTCATTGTGGCCACTAATGATGATGTGGTCCCCACATACCACGTCATTGCAGTAGGAAAGGACATTGATGGTCCTGGAACCTGGGGACCAAAGGGCAGAGTATAGGCTCTCAAGGTTCTCGGGAGCCAGCCCACTGGACATGTGGTGATGCTGAGACCCAGAAGGGACAGTGTCCTCCCAAGACTGTCCCCCAGGCAGGTCTCACTCCACCTCTTCTTCACCAGCCCAAAGCCCAAGGCACAGGGCAGCAGGGGGAGGAAGAGAAGGAGAGCTTCACCCCAAATGCCTATGAATCCCAGAGAACAGGGTGAGGTCCCTTGCATCTGGGGGCTGCTGGCTAGTGGGCAGGGGAGGTGGGGCTGGGCCTCACAGTAGGCGCGTCCAAGGTCCCACTCCTTCACTGTGCGGTCTCGACTCCCAGTCACCGCCTGATGCCTTGTTAGCTTGAATTTGGCAGCTGTCACCTTGTCCTTGTGTCCAGACAGTGTCTCCTGCTCCATCGCAGGTGTGGATCAAGGGCATGGCCAAGCCCTCATAATAGACCCCCAAGTCCAGAGGTATGACCCTTCACTCCTAGGCTGCCTCCTCCCCAGTCAGGCCTCACCTTGGAATGTGCCTCTCCCACCTTCCAGAGCTGGGCAGCCTGGTTGTAAGTAGCTGCTAAAACCTGGGAGCCCTAGAGAAATGAGGGTGGGAGGGATCCTGAGCCTGGGCCTGGCCAGAGCAGGATCCCTCAGGCCAGAGAGCTGGGCTAGGGGCTGCTTCAGAGCTTCCCGAGACCCAAGTCATCGAGACAGGCAGAGAAGGGCCAGGGATTTAGCTCAGTGGTGCCAAGCCTGCCTCAAAAGCGCAAGGTCCTGAGTTCAATCCCTGGTACCGCAAAAAAAAAAAAAAAAGGCAGGGAAGCTTAGGCCAGGGAGGAGCCCAAGGCCCCAGTTCTAGGATAACCACAATATCCACTCTGGCCCCAGAGCCCCACCTGCCTGACATGAAGATTGGGGAAAATATCTCAGGTCTGTGGGGCAAAATCCTCTCACCGAGGGGTCTATGTCCACACTGGTGATGCTGCCACCAGCTCCCTCGAGGGTCTGGTTGGCCTCCAGGCGTCCTGGGGGGAACAGGATGGGACTAGTAATATGAGGTCACTAAGCTTGTGAAGTAGAGGAACTGGCATGGACAGAGAGAAGATCAAATGGTTCCTCCATGGTTAGCGCACAGAATCGCTGGCTGTCCTGGAGCCTGGCAGGAGGCTGCAACTCCCATGACTGCTGGCAGGGGACCCCGGGGGCAGCTAGTCATGGAGAGGACCAGAGAGAAGGGACTGTCCCTGGGTCACACTGTAAGCAAGGCTCGGCCAGCTAGAGACCTGCATCTTCTAGGAAGCCTCCAGGAGCTGACTGAGTACCTAACACAGGCCCATACAGAGCACAAAGCTCGGGACCGTGTGGACAGTCTGTCTCATCTCTGACTGCAAGGTGCTCAAGTGAAAAGGTTGCCTGATGAACCCAGGTACTTGTTCCTCAAAGGCCCGTCCCTGTAGGATCTCACATAGGGAACTCCCCCTCCCCTGGCAGGGACCACCGGAGCTCAGCCCTCCCCATCCTGCAGGCCTGGAACCCAGGAGCAGGGAGCCTCTCCCCTTGTTCAGCACAGTGACCCAGAATCCCATTCTTACCAGGAGGTTCTCTAGCCACTATCCACAGGAATGTTCCAAGTGGGGCAACACAAAGAGGTCCAAGACCATGGCCCACCCCGGAGCCAGCTGAGGATGCAGCCAGCTGAGGATGCATGCAGGGAAACCACTGGGCTGGCCTGCAGGGAGGGAGCCTTACCTCCTACAATATTCCAGAGGTGGATGAGGCGGTCAGCCCCGCCAGTGGCCAAGAGGTTGCTGTTAGGGCCAAAATGAACGGCATTGACCTCAGAAAGGTGGGCATCCTGTGGAGCAAGGGGAGGTTGGTGCCCTGGTCTTCCCATACGTGCCTCTTTGTGCCTGCTTACAAGCTCTCACATGTGCCTATGGACACACACAACCTACTACTGGCTTGGTAACCCCATCCCCAGCCCCCATCTCTGCCTTAACTTTGTTTCAAACTTGGCCCAAGCAGCTCTCCTCACTTCCACCTGGACCCTACAGCAGCCTCCCCCTCTGCCACCCCCCACTCTCTTGTTGAGCCACCTACTCTCCCAACCTCCTGTCTCCCTCTCCTGTCCATGCCCTCTCTGTAAAATTCCTGAGCAGTCCTACCATAGGGTGTAGAGGCAAACTTCTGCCCCCACTGAGGGCCTAGGCTTGCTTTCCTGGCCCAACCAAGCCATCCCTAGTGCCTGCACTCCCATACTAGTACCCCATATATGAGGCCCAGCTCTTTCCTTACCAGAACATCCAGAGCCTGGACAGGAAGCTTGGCAGCCACACATATAGGGATGCTTTGGTATTGCTGCTCAGGGACACCTCCAATTGAGTGACCTCTCCTCTTCTTAAAACTGCAGAGATGCAGAGGTCAGAAGGGCATTCAGCAAGGTTTCTGATATGGGGGCTTCAAGATCCCCCAAGGCAGCAACAACAGGAAGCAAACATGGCAGGTAGCAAAACACAGTGTCAGGCCACAGTGAGCTTATTCCCCAAGCCAGCTTGACCCCTGTGGAGATGGGAGTGGGGTGAAGGGGGCAGTACACAGAGACAGGCCCAGGACTGGGTAGCATTGGTGGATGCAGAGAAGTCTCAGAGCTGGGCTTTCAGTCTCTGCCTTGTCACTGCTTGGGTATGTGACTCTGAACAAATTTGTGACATTCTGAGCCTCTTTCCCAACTGAGTAAGAGTTCCCATACAGACTCAGGCTGGAGCTCTTGGTCCTCTGTGAAGATCTTGGGTGAGCGGAGAGCCTTGGAAGATAGCTGGGAATGGACTGGAAATGAAGCCATACATCCAGCTCCTGATTCTGGGCCCAAACAGACTCACACAGACAGCAGGCACCATATGCACAGACAAACTGAGGCACATACACAGACAAGCCTGGACTTAGGAAGCCTGACATGGGGCTGCAACAGGCCCAGCCCCTTCACACACGTATGCACACACACTTACTCCAGCAGCCCCTTCACCACATCCACACAGCAGGACAGTGTCAGAGAGGTGGCCGAGGCAGACCTGGGGCAGAACCGAGAGAGATGTGCTGAGGGACCGGCCAGTGGGTGTACAAACAGCATTCATTCACTCCCTACACTTTGGTGGAAACCGGGAGGCTCGTAACCTCTTGAACATGGAATAAAAACTTGACTCCCTGAAAACCAGGAGCATAATGACCCAGACTAACCCAGGGAGAGGGAGGGAGTGATTTGGCAATGAAAGGCTCCCTAAGTCTCCATCGTGATAGTGAGAACTGCCTCACCCCCCAAGGGGTTCACTAACAAAGGCTCATGGGAGACTGGGCTTGGGCCAGTGGGGAGGGGTGAAAGTGTCCCAGGCTGAGACAGCACAAGGCTGGGGGCAGTGGGGAGGGAAAGCCTAGGCTTACTGAGTGATGCCAGAAATGCCCAAGAGAAGGTGAGTCCTGGATATCTTGGCCCATTGGGGCCCATCTTGCCCCTAGTGTCTCATGCCCCTAGCCCAAAGTTCCTTCATGCCCCAGGGCCTGGACACCAGAGACCTGCAAGGAAAGACTGAGAAAAGACTCCAGAGTGGGAGAGAGGGCCAGGGGAGGGCAGCTGCAATGGCAAACAAAACAAGACTTGAGGAAACTGGGCAGAAGGGCACCCAAGGATGAAAGCCCCAATCAGATCTCAGCAGTGTGGGCCCGTATTTACACATGCTCCAATGTTCATAATCAGGGGTGCCCACCTAAGTCCTGGTATGCACACACCTGCACACCTGTGCTTACACATACGAGTGGCTGGGACAGCTGAGCCCTGGGCCTTGCCCTGTCCCCTCCTGGTGATACCACTTCACAAGCCTTACTCCCCACCCCAGAGAGCTGGTCCTGTGCTCCCACTGAGCGCTGGGGTGAGTGCTCAGTGACAGATCCCAACTCGCTCCAGGCACTGGAGATCAGACCAGCCCTGGCTCTACTCTGTCTCTCCCCAACACCCCAAAAGCTGGCCCCAAGGCCAGAGTAAGACCGACAGCCTCTAGTGTAGAGCCCAGCTGAGTGCTCTGGGACAGCCACTTGGATCCTCACCTGAAGGGCCTCTTCCACTTCTCACAAGCCTTGCTCTCCAGGGAGTCTGGCTTAGCAGCCAGGGTCAGAGCCTCTGTGCCCTCCCTGATCCCTTTGCCTAGGGAGTCTGGGATCCTAGAAGAGAGAATGAAACTCAGGAAGGCCAAGGGACCAGGCCAGCCCCTCCCTGCACCAGCACTGGACACAGTGGAGATGAGGGGTCCGTGTGGGAGTATGAGTAGCAGGCACCTGTGAGGGCCCAGTGGCCCCATCACCTGTGGACCCTGGTACTGCAACCGTGCACAGGTACAGGCAGGCAGGTACGAGTAACCAGGTGCAGATGTGCGGGGGGTCAAGGGGTGCGGGCAAATGTGAGCAGAGGCCCGACAGCAGGGCAGCGCCTCGATACAAAGGTCAAACCCCGCCTCTCCCCACTCTTACTCGCTGATGCTCACTGTCCGCTTGGCAGCCTTCTTCAGCTCCTGAGACACCCGAGCCTGACTGGCCCTGGGGAGCGGGGGGGGGAGGTGAGAAAAACCTCCTCAAGTCAGGACTGTGGAGCTTGCCACTGAAGTAGAACACAAAACGCCCCGCCTTCATGCTATGGACAGACTTCTCCTTTCTCCCCGGAGAGCCTACCTGCTGGCCCAGAGGGCAAGGCCAGACTCCTCCCCGTGTGGGCGTGACACGTCCAGGAGGGGCGGCGCCTACTACCCAAAAGGGGCGGATCTACCCCAAAAGGGGTGGGTCCCCCTTCCCTCACCGCTCCAGGCGCTCAAGGCGCAGGTTGAGCTCGTCGGCAGCTCGCGCCTTGAGTTGCACTAGCCGCTCCAGCAGGCAGCTGGCCTCCTCCTGGAGCCTGCGCAGTTCCGCCTCCTGGTTCCCGGTGCGAACACGCAGGACCTCGTAGGCCGTCCGCTGCACCACATTCTGCGCCCGCTGCTCTTCCACCAGTTGGGTCTGCTTTGCCCGCGCCTCTTGCAGATGTGCCACTTGGGCCTCCAGAACCGCCAGCCTGCAGGGTGGAAGGGCGGCCTGTGGGTGGGTCACGGTCCTATGGGACCCCACTCAGGGCTGATAGACCTGTCCTTAGCCCCCCAGATGGCTACACTACATCTTCAACCAAGCCAGGCCACAGAGCCCCTCCGCGCGTCCTCTGACCCCAATCTCAGGACAGAGGGCCCTTTAACCACCTGGGGAAACCTCTGGGCCCACGTCATCCTCCCCCCCCACCTCCAGCAAGGATGGTCGTGGTCCCTCCGGGTGCTTCACCTGCCTTGCCGTTCCTCCAGCTGCAACTGCTGGGTGCCCAGAGCTGCGCTCTTCTCAACCACCTGGTAGGCCATCTTGGAGGCGAGGCCGAGGGCATGGGTGCCTCTGTTGGACTCACACCAGGCTCTCCAGCCTCTCTGGGCTGAGGAGCCTGCTACCCCACACACCTACCCCCTTCCTGACAAGAAACCAGACGCCCAGTGAGGTTTAGGATCTGCCATGAGAATGCATTGCTGCAGCCAGCCAGGCATGGTAGCTCACTCTTATAGTCCCAGCAACCTGGGAGGTTGAAGCAGAAGGATTGCAAGTTTAAGCCTAGCCTGGGCAATTTAGTGACTTTGTAAGATCTCAAAATTAAAGTAATAGGGCCAGGGATTTAGCTCAGTGGTTTCGCCGCCTGCTGCTCAAGCGCAAGGACCTGAGTTCAATCCCCAGTACCAAAAAAAAAAAAAATTAAAGTAATAAAAAGGGCTGAAGATGTAGCTCAGTGCAAAGGCCTTAGGTTCAATCCTCAGTACCACAAAACACACACACACACACACACACTGGGGTAGTCATTTAACCTTGGCAAGAGGAATCTTTTTCCTTACTTATAAAATGAGAATGATAGTGCTTATCTCATAGGATAACACCAAATTATTATGAGAAGTAGTTCAAATAACAGGAAATGTTTATCTTAGCACTTACATGTGCCATGCTGCCATGCCTTATTCTAACACTCTACACATATTAACTATTAATCTCCATAATCACACCATAAGATAAGCACTACAATCTTCATTTTGCTGATGAGGACAATGACACAGACAGGTTAAGTGACTTGACTCGTGCATAGGTATTGGAGAGCAGAAGCACACAAGGCTAGGAACAGGACCAATGTGTGGGAGTACAGGGCCCAGAATGAATGCTGGAGTTGCCTACCATGGGGTGAGGGTCATCTCATCTGTATCCCTGCCTCACTTAGCAATCCTTCAATGGAGAGCCGAGAGCCAGGGAGGCCACAGAGAAGTCCTTCTCCTTCCTTCTGGTGCCGAGGGGTCAGTGGAGAAGACCGACCCCAGGGAAGGCAGTGCTCACCAGTGTGGCAAGAGGAACATGAGGGCCACGGACTCTGAGCACCTCTAGTCCGGTAAATAACTGAAGCTGGGGGCTTTTGTTGTTAACCTGATCCTGGTATTTTCTCACTGGGGCCTGGCAAAGACAGATTGAGGCTGTTTACCGCCAGTGACATGACTCCCGGTGTAAGGGGCCTGGGCCTTACTTTTCTAGCAAGCCCAGCTATAACACATTCTTTTCACCACTGAGCGATCCAATCACCATCTCATTTCCTCACCTACCATTTGCATTTATACCATTCAATATTTTTTGTTTGATACTTGTCAAAATTCAAATGATAGAAGTAGACAATGGATTAGTAGTTGCCACTAGTTAGCGATGGTTGGGCAGAGGGAGGTTAGTTACTAAAAAGAGGTAGCAAAAAGATCTTGTGGTAATGAAATAGTGCTGTATCCTCCTGATAGTTACACAATTCTACACATGTGATAATGTCACACCATTATCAAGTTGCAACCACAACAGTGGCAATTGAATTCATTCCTAGCCCATTTCCATGCTCGTAGGGCAGGTCAGCTGGCATGCTGTAAACAACACCCCTCAGTCTCCTCCTGTGGAAACCCCACAGGGCTAGGTCTTCTTTGTGGTTGCACTCCCTGTTCCTTGTATGTACCAACTGTTAATAAATATTTGTTGATAAGTGTTAATAAATATTTGTTGAAAGAATGAATGGAAATCACAGGAAGTGATTTGGAAGTTCAAATCTGGGCTCTGCCTCTTTAAGATTCATTTTCCTCCTCTGCAACTATGAAGTTTTGGAGGATTAACTGAGATAATCTGCAGCCCAGTTTGTGCAGGGAGTCAACTCTCAATGTGATGTTGACCATATTATGGGGGAGATACTGATTGTAGATGTGATGTCTAAAAAGCAGCTGAGCAAGAGAGTCCAGAGCTCAGAAGAGAAGGCTGAGCTGGAGATAAGTCTAGGAGTCAGCAAAGTCAGCAAATACTGGCCAGTGAGCCCACTCAGCTCCAAGAACACTCACATTTAAAGGAATGGAGGCAGTGAGAAGGCAAAGGACCCAGAGAGCGAAGCTCAGAAGCAAGAGACACAGAATTGAGGCTTTAAGGTGAAACAGAAGCCAAGAGGCAGCACTGCAGGGACAGGATGGGCAATCATGTCAAGTGGAGGTCCCACATGCTGCCATGGAGTACATCACCCCTAGCCAGTTAGCCTGCACGTATGTATTAAGCGTCACATGGTGCTGCGCCCAGGGGTTGTCTCGGCAAGGGATGAGGAGTGGGCAGGTGAATGCAGGAGTGAGCAGACCAAGCTAACCTACCTGGAAGGGAGGACAGACTTCCAGGCCCCTGCGCACCACTCGATACTGTGAGATCTTGTCTCCCTCCAGCCACTGTTGGAGCCCACTTCATCCTGAGATGCCACTCTGACCCCTACCCCACTTCAGTCCGGGTCTGAAACACACTGGGGCTTATTCTTGCAGCACTGGATTCGGGAAATGTGGCAAACACAGCAAGTGCTGTACACTCGCTGGCACCTTTGGAAAACTGTATCTCCCTGCTGCAGTTCTGGGTCCTGGCCCTGTCCCCTTGTTGGATCCCTGCCCAGCTTACCTCACCACAGACCAGCCGAAGCCCCTCCTCTTCCTCCTGCCACTTCACCTTCAGAGTGGCCAGTGATGGTACCTGGTCTGACTCAGGCCGTGACTCCTCCTCCCTGCCAGCCAATCAGAGAGTGGTGCTCCTGACCCTGACCTCTCCACTCATCCCACAGCCCAAAGGCCCCCAGCAGGTGCCCCAAGAAGAGCCTGAAATAAGAGCCATTAACTTTCTCTGGGAGAAGGTGGAGGGCAGCAAGCAGTTAAGGAAAAAACCAAGTCTCAGAAATGAGCTTCTGTGACTCTTGTGCTCTGGGACTCTCCAGGCCTTGGGTTTCCTGGCTCAGGACCCTTCTCAAGAAGCACATGCCAACTCTGGTTCCAACCCATCCCTGGCTCTTGTCTCCACTCCCTCTTTGGAATTGGGAGTACAACCCTTTCTGTAGATACTGGGTAAGGAAGAAGAAGATGAAAAAGACTGAGTGAGAAGGGGAGGAGCACAGGGTTGGGTAGGGAAGGAGACAGGCAAATGCAGAGAGAGATGGGTAGGGAAAAAGCAAATTCTAAGCAGCTGGGGTAGGGCTGGGGTCAGGGGCTCACCCAACCATGCACCCAATCATGAACCAGGGAAATGAGGTACCAGGGAGAGAATGAACCCAGCATAGGTGCTTGGGGCAGGACCAGGTACTGACAACCCCTTACATACACTCACCAGGAGCCCTGGTCGGAGGCAGGAGTGACATTGCTGGGCTCCAGATGCAGCTTCTCTGAGAATGTGGCCAGCAGCTCAGCCTTCTCTAGGAGATGGTTATCTGGGTGCAAGAGGGTGAGCCTGGGACAGAGACAGACACTCCCCGGGAGACCACTGGATGCAGGATCCCAGGGATGCTGGGAATGGGAAAGCTACTGGGGACTGTGCAATGCCCCTTGCCTGAGGGATATTTGTGCAGTGCTACAGGTCCTTCCACCCTGGCACAAGCCTCCTCACAATACTGGCCCTCCTTACAGCTCCCCCCACCCCAACTCTGGGACCACCCAGGAAAAGAAGACTACTCTCCCAGGGCAGAAGGACCACCACGGCTGGTGACAGGGATGGCAGGTACTGCTTGGCTCCACAGCGAATTGAAACAAACAAAAAACTTCACCTGCATCTAGCCTTCAGCAAGTCACTTCCCCTCCAAGGGCTCTAACTTCCACTGAAGTAATCCTAACTTCCTCAGAGTTGGTGTAAAATAGCCCCAGGTCAAAAGTCCTTGAGCAATTATCCTACAGACTTTCTTAGGTTGGTGGTTTGACCTTGGGACACACACCCCCCCATCCATGGTCACTTCCTCTTTTCTAGGCTGCCAGTGGTAAACCTGGGCTCCTCAGCTGCCTTCCTTCACCCAGTGCCCAGGCTGTCACCTTGACTGAGGTCCCTGAGTCTGGCCTAGTCCTCACAAAAACCCCCACCTCAGCCCCCAGGGCACTGCACTGGTTCCCACCCATCAATAAATCCAAAGAAGGCCCCACTGTGTTTATTTACCAATAAGAAACCTGAAACTTAGGGGCAAGGGGCTTGAACTGCCCAAGACAACAGATGACTGGAACTTCAGTGTCTCATTGCAGTCCTCTAAGTCTCTACAGGCCCTCAGATTTGCAGCTGGGGAGGGGGTGTGTATTCCCTCCTCTAACCAGGAAGCTCCATAACCA